CTATTTTCAAAATCAAGTTAATCAAGCTGCTACCAACCCAAGAGTACTATGGCAAACTATTAAATCTATAACTGGTGAAAATAGTTTAAAAAATAACAATAACTTACAAATATCTATAAATGGTACTCTTCTCACTGATCATGAAAAAATTGCTAACTCATTCAATGAGTATTTTATTTCATCTGTACAAGAGCTGTCTTCTAAATTTTTAGCTTCTCCAGTGCTTCAAGTACCACCAAATACATGTCAACAGTTTTCTTTTTCTGAGATTTCGCAAAGTGAGTTATCTGATATTTTGAACTCTTTTAGAATTTCTCATGCCTGTGATGTAAACAACTTAAACATGCATTTTATGAAAACTCATGCTAGTACTCTTATACCACTTTTCCATCATTTAGTTAATTTGTGTATTAGGCTCCATAAATTCCCTGACACCTGGAAAACTGCTCAGATTATTCCAATATTCAAATCTGAGGACCCAACTAGTGTCTCTAATTACCGGCCAATCTCAATTCTCCCTACATTTTCTAAGTTACTTGAAAAGGCACTGTATAATCAGTTAATTGTTTATCTTGAAGACAATAAGTTGCTTAGTGATAGCCAGCATGGCTTTAGACCATTGCGCTCAACCATGTCAGCATTGCTTTTATTTACTGAACATATACGTATGGCACTAAATAAAGGACATGTCACTGGAGCTGTATACATAGACTTTAGAAAGGCCTTTGATACAGTTAATCATAATATTCTTTTAAACAAATTGATCTCATTTAATCTCTCTTCTTTTGCAATAGATATGTTTTCATCATATTTATCCAATAGATCTCAGGTTGTTAAAATTGGTACAACAATTTCCCAGGCATTAGGTTGTTCTATGAGGGTTCCTCAGGGAAGTATTTTGGGACCTTTACTTTTGCTGATGTATATCAATGACCTCCCTCAGGTAATTAAACATTCAGATTCTTTATTGTATGCAGATGACACTGTACTTTTTGTGTCTGGATTGAGTACAGACACAATTAACAATAAATTAAATACAGATCTTCAGCATTTACATGAGAGGCTGCAAGACAATCATTTGACTATTAATGTTAAGAAAACAGAGTGTATGTACTTTTATTCACCTAGGAAAAAAATATCCATATCCCATCCCCTCACTTTCTCAAATCAAAAACTTTCCATTGTATCCACATATTAATATTTGGGAATCAGTCTGGACTCTCACCTCACTTATTGTAACCATGTTCAAAATGTTTATAAAAAGCTGAAACAAAAGCTATTTGTTTATGGCAAAATTAGGACAAATTTGTCTTTTTCTGTTTCAGAAACTTATCTGCATGCCATAATCTTGTCTACCTTGTCTTACTGTCTGCCTATTTGGTCTCTCACAACAAACGATATTCTGGAGCCAATAGCTAGACTATACTATAGGGCCTATAAGATACACAACAGACTCTCTGGATGGACACATCACTGTTTTGCTCTATCACTTTCTAAAGCGTTAACATTTCAAAACTACATTATGAACTCTGGTATCAAACTGTACTATCAAATTTTAAATAGCTCTACCTCAGCAGCCCTTTGTGCATTGGTACCTAAACTCAACACAAGGACTGATCGTTCCACCAGATCTGTAACAAATGGATGTTTGCCAGTATCGGCTTTTAAAAACTGTTATGGACAGAGATCTTTCTTTTATGTTTTCAAAAGAGTCTGGAATGAGATCCCACAACATCTCAGAACAATACCAACACTGAGACTTTTTAAGAAATCCCATGCTCATCATCTGATGGTCAACTATCGCTGTAGCCACTGAGATAGTAGCCTGCTTTTTTCTTTATCTTATATGTTTGGTGATTGTTTGTACTGTGTTGATGGATGAGATGTCTGTCTATTTTTATGTTCTGCAAAGCAGGAACCTGCTGAAAAACAGCATTCATGCTGAGTCAGGCCCGATTATCTTTTAATCCTTTCCTGTTTAAAAAATTATAAATAAATAAATAAATAAAATAATAAATCAAATACTCATTGGAAAAAGTTCTTACTATAGTATTTCTCACAAACGCTACGTGAGATCTTCCTTCTTTATGTCTGTCTGTTGTCTGACGCAGCCGAGGGAGGAGATTAAGGCACGCAGAAACGGTGGGCGGGGAGGACTAGCCTTAAAGGTGCAGTACAACACAACCGCTTTAAAATAGAATCTTATAAAACGTCTAATAAATAATCTGATGGGTGTTTTGAGCTGAAACTTTACAGACACATTCTGGAGACACAAAAGACTCATGTTAAATCTGAAAAAAGGGGTAACCTAGGTGCTCTTTAAATCACCTTTCTTCCCTTTTCTAATGCTTGGTTTGAACAGCAGAAGATCGTCTTGACCGTGTGCCTAAATGCATTGAGTTACTGCCATATGACATGGTCAAGATGATCTTCCTCTTGGATGAATGATTGCTTGAAGTTTAGTGTTTACTTCCACACATGCAACTATATATATATATACATATGCATATACATATATATACAGTTTTAAAGTGAACTGTAGAGCATTTACTAAAATTTAGCAACTTAACAAGAATATTATTACGGGGTGTAACATAGAACATGTCCTCTAATAAATTGACATGGATCATACATATGGAACCTGTATTACTTCTCTTATTTTCAACAACATCAGTTTTTCACAATATTTTAAGAAGGTATAAAGTCAGTGAGTGAATCAGTTCATGTTCTTACCTTCTGTAATAGTTGCGTTGTTGTCCTTGGTGTGACAAGATGAATTCTCAAATCATACGGTCAATACTGAAAACAAAAGGAGAATTTTCTGGAAAAACAGAAAAAAAAAACACTCATGGATCATCCAGGTGAATATTTAAGAGGGTGTTATTTTAATAAATGATATTATTTGCTCTTGTGGAGTATATGAAAAGATCTTTTATTTGAAATTACTTATTTAAGACACTCAATATAATATAACACAATTGCTATGATATTATTATTTGTTTTTTGCTAAAACAACATGTAGATTAATCAAAACAGATACTAAAATGCTGGAACAGTTTTCACATTTAGAAGTTAAATCATATTTGTGTTTCCCCTCATTTTGTGAATATGAACTGTCGAATTTACAAATTTCCATCTACATTAATAATTGGCTCTGATGAACACGACAGACTGACCTCTACTGGACAAAGACCTGAACTGACCACCAGCATTCAACATCAGTGCCATCTGAACTTTAAACAGCTGTGTGTGTAATATTAATGCTGCATGTGATTAATACTGTCATGTAAAACCATACACCACAGTATGCTGCAAACTACTGTCAGCTCTTAATACAGTCATACATGAATGTCATGCAAAGACAATCAGTATCAGGACAGTAATACATCTCCAGTAAGCAGGGAAATCCCCCCAAAAAACAGTGATGAGGGTCAAATTTTGAAAGATGAGACAAAAAAAATAAATAAAAGTTTTCCACGAATGTACGGTTGTTAGCATAGGATAATATTTAGCCAAGATATATGACAATCTGGAATCGGAAAGTGTAAAAAACAAACAAAAACAAAACTAAATATTGGGAAAACCGCCTTTAAAGTTGTCCAAACTAGATTAGAACACACATTACTAATCAAACAAATAAGTTTTGGTATATTTACAGTAGAAAATGTCCTCCTTGAACCCAATCTTTACATATTCTAATGATTTTTGGCATTAAACAAACCTTAATTTAGACCCATACAATTATTTTTGGGGTGTTGCTGTGCAACACAGAGAATTATTTTGTGCTTATGCAATTTTGTAATTACTCTTTTGTGCTATATATACAAAATATACTATATATATAATATCATAATGTATAATAATCAGTTCTAAAGGCTTTGAGCAAATGATGGAATTTCCTAAAATACACTTCCAACTAGTACAGAAATGAAGGCAGATCACATTCTCAGTCAATCTCTCTGTTGCATATTGTATTATTGTGTGTAGCTAGACTATATCTAGTGAAAACAGAGAAAGAACTCTGTAGATGGCTTCATAATCTTGTTCGTGAGCAAAATCATCAGTTTTGTCATGACTGAGATATTAAAATACTCGATTTAATGAAAGGAAATAACTGAAATTCTAGCTCTAAAGTTTTTGAATTGGCAGTGGCTTTTCTGTTTTGGTGGTACAATGCAGATGTGAACCTGTGCAACAATGTAGTTTTTCACATGCAAAGGGTTTATGAGACTGTACATGGTTGTTTTTTATAGCACACTTGTGCTTTCAAACTGTAACAATACACAAATGGGTTTGTGTTTTTTTCGAGATTTCAAGATTGCAATAATTACGTATTACAAAAATACATTTTACATTTGTTTTTATATTTACAAGGAAGGATCATACATAATAATTAAGTCCATATAGAGCAATAACAACATTAGTAAAAGTGTTTTAAAATAGCAATAGTGTTTTCTTTTTGCTTTACAGTTTTGGCTGCTAATGAAGTAGGCCAGTGGTTCTCAAACTTTTTTATCAAGTATCACCTCAGAAACAAATTGTCTCTCCAAGTACCACCGTAATGAGCAGTATTGAAATACAGTAGCGCAGTACAGCACAGTAAAGCAGCTACAGCTCTGCACAGTTAAAAACGTGGCAGATTAATTCCTGTTATTAAGAATATTTATTGATGTCAGCCAGTTTAAACATAAATAGTATGAACATTAACACTGTACTGTGCTTATATGTAAAAAACAAACAAACAAGCAACTAAAAATGTCAACATTTTAATTAAAATGTGCTTTTAAAAGTTAAAAATGGTAGGTTACTGTTCTTAAAGTGCAAAGAAAAGTGCTGAACTTAAATGTAAAGTGTTAGCATATAGTATAGCCAATTCATCAACATCTGGAAATGTTGCCTGGACCTCAGGAACATAGGCTATTTGTAATATAATAATTATTATTACATGTCATATTCATATATAAATCATTTTTAATAAATTTTGAAATATATGTAGCATGTACATATGACATATTTAATTCTTCCACGTACCACTAGAAGGAAGCCCACGTACCACAGTTGGAGAACCACTGAAGTAGGCTATACCTGAAATGCAACTTCCATGTGCCAGCACAGGCATGTACACTCAGTTCTATTCAAGTTTATTTGTATGCCGCTTTTCACAATAACTATTGTTCAGAGATGCTCAAACTAGGGCCAAAGTTGGCCCATGGTAAGCTTTGATTTGGCCCACCATCTAATCTGAGAGGAGAGGGAGAATGAATGAGATGGTTTCGAGATTGTCAATTCAAATTTAATGTAACCTTTGCTTATTTTAATATTAAAAGCTAAGTGAAATTAAATGTTTTAATTAGATGGTATAAATTAAGTCAGATTTTGTTTAAATGTACATACTGTTAGCTGAAAATACAGAGACTTTTCAAGTCAAAATAAATGTGATTATGTTTTTATTGCAACAAGTTATCATTTAAAATGTTATCCTGCATTAAGTAATGCAATTTAAAGTAATGCTTTAGATTTATTTTGTAATATTATGAAATAAATGAGGAAACTACCCATGGCAACTATAGTTTGGTTTATTTACCTTCGGCCACGGCTCTCAGTATTTGGTTTTTGGCCCCTTCATACGAAAAAGTTTGGTCAAAGACGTGCTCATTAACGCATTACAATCATATTAAAATGATTATTAATTTAAAATACACACTATGAGTCTAATCTGACTTTACTTTTCGGCTATATGTAGTCACAAACACCAATTTCACAAGAAAAATGTGTCTTTAGAGCACTAACAGTGTTTATCACCGCTGGGCGCCATCATGCATCTAGGACTGAACCATTACGGGCGAGGGAGAAAAGAGGGGGGCGGGTCAAATTTACGTGAACATATTTTTATAAGTAGTAGTTCTTTAGTTTAATACAGATCAGATCAAACGATTTTAACATTATATAAAGGAAAGACTCTCGCCCAACCAAACACACATCTCGTATTGACAACCTTCAGGGAAATCAAGCATTAAACACCACACCCCCTCCCCACATAATTGCGATTATCAATAAATAATTAATGTTTGTGAGTGATTCCAGCTCGAAATTTGACGAACGAGATATTGTAAAATGTAATAAGAAACTTTTAAGAAAAGAAGAAATGTTTTTAAACACAGCTAAGATTTACATTTTCGGTAGAAAACATCTATTTTCTTTTGAATGGCGCTGCCTTGCGCTGCTGTATGCAAATGAGCCATGACGTCAAACATTCCATCGTATTCTTATAATGATGTAGACGGCAGACCGGCTCATTCTCTTGCAACAACTCGAGCGAGCTGCACCGAATCACTATAGATCTGCGTTTTACGTCTGATTTATGGCGTTTTCAGTTGATTGTGATATTACAAATATTCAGTTCGCCGTTGATAACAATTCTCTCGAGTTTGGAAAGAAACCTAAAGCAATGGGACGAGTTAGAAAGAGAGTAAAACAGTTCTGTAACTGGGCCTCTCGGAAATCCGGGAAAGCCCAGCAGAACCAGTGCACATCCGAGGGCGACCTCGAGCACCGGAGATGTTCTGATGACGAAGCCGGACCGAGCAACGCTACGTTCATCTCCCACATTCACACTGGAGCTGGTGTTTCACCAAGCCCAGCACCACAGACAAGAGAGAAGAAACTTAAGAGGCTCTGGAAATGGTTTTCTCGGAAATTCAAGAGAACTAGAACCAGAGCCCCACAGATCCAGCTGAGCAGCCCACAGCCTCAGAGATCCCCTGACGGCGAAGCTGCGTGTGTGTCGCCGAGGACAGTTCATGACGAGCGGGTCAACAGGCGCGTGTCTATCCAGACCCCTGTGAAGACCCCGTCAACAGAAACTGAACGGCACGACGACACTGAATACTGGGACTTTTCTGTATCTTCTCTTACCACAGCGGGAAACAGCGAATCCGACCGCGATTCAATGCACAGCTGGCACTCGTGCGCGTCTTCGCTTGGCACCCCGGTTAGTGAATCTGACCGCGCATCAGTGTTAAGTTGGCACTCTTGTGCGTCTTCGCTGGGTACCGCGGGCATCAGCGAATCTGACCGCGCTTCAGTGCACAGTAGGCAGCCTTGTGCGTCTTCGCTGACCGCTGAACACCACAACGATGAGGAAAACGCTTCCAGCGAGGACTCCAGCGTGTCCGAGGACAGCACATCTTCCTCATCGGATTTTTGGAAAACAGAACAGGAAACCACATTCAACTGGGAAGGAAATACAGGTCAGTTTATCAGGTGTTTTTATCCTGAAGTACATTGTACTTCACTACAAGTTATATAACAATTCCAAACTAAATATTGAGCTTTTTACTCCACTGCATATGATAATGATAGTTACTTAAGTTCTGAGTGAACATATTATAAAATATATTACAGAATATGTTATTACGAATAGCTCTATACTATAACTTAACTGTATTCATGAGAAAAAAATGTTCCTTAAAGAAAATATTTCTGAAGTGTTTTTTAAGAATTGCACTAAAACATTTCGAATCGTAATAATTTTTAGCTAATCAAGATTTTTTGAATCTGACCAGGTTTATATGTCAGCAAGTACTGATGTGAAGTGTTTGAGATTATTTAAACCACTGAACCTGACCCGTGCATGCCAAGCTCAAACGTTTGAGTGTCTGTCTACCATAACATGGCTCAGATTGGGGCTGCATGATATATCAAATTTAGCATGCAATATCCATACAGCAGAAAGTTCCTATATAGTTATGTGTCAGAATAATAAATGAGCAGATTTTTTAAACATACCTAAGCCATGATATACCTATAATATAGATATGAGACAACAATTGATCTGATTGAACCAGTCCATTATAAGGCACCTTCAATAATAATAGTTTGTTAAAATAGAGCTATTCTAAAGCAATCTTCGCTCAGATTTTTGTTGGTTTATGCTTATAAATGTACTTCATTGTTTGTTTCTTTGTTTTATTTACAGGTAGAATCTCCCAGGACTATAAAATCCTTCACTTGATTGGTCAAGGATCAACAGGAGTCATCTATGAAGGAATCCGTCTGTCGGATTGCCGAATGGTTTGTTTCAGACATAACAGAAAGATTTTGTGCTTTTCCCTTGAAATGTAAATTTGAAGAATGCCGCATGACTGGATCGTGTGTATTAACTTTTGCTTTCTCTTGGTCAACAGGTGGATATCAAATGCGTGAAGAAGACAAAATCAATGGAAAGGATCACGATTGTAAGTTCACACACGCAACATTGTTAAAAATAGTCTCCACTTCAGTTCAATGACATCTCACTAATACGTCTATTATCTCTCCTGCAGGAACCATCTGACAAGACTGTTCCACAAGAGGTCGGTTTGATGACTATGATGAGCAGAGGTCCGAAGGTTCCTCAAGTAATACAGCTGCTGGACTGGTATGAGGCACCAGACCAATACATACTGGTGCTGGAGCATCCCAAAGCAGCTGTGAGCCTGGACCAGTTTGTATCCTCTTGCGGGAACAAAATCAGCGAAGCGAAAGCACGAGTGGTGATGCACCAGGTGATCACTGCTGCCAACGCATGCTGCGAAAGGGGAGTCTACAATAACATCAAGCTGGAGAGCCTGCTCATCAACCCCCACACCTTGCAGGTCAAACTGATGGACTTTGGCACCGGAAGCCGCATGAAGGATACTGGCTATAAAACATTTTGGGGTATGTATGATAATGGCCACAATTTATGTGAAGTTATTTTGTTAATATGGATATTTAGCGAAAATCTAACTGCATTGGGACTAAATCTTTCTCTTTCTTCCAGGCTCAAGGGCTTGTATTCCCCCGGAGTTCTATCAGAAGGGAAGGTTCCACGCCAAGCCTGCAATCGTGTACTCTTTAGGCAAACTGTTGTTCAGGATGCTGTGTGGACGCTACCCTCATGTGGACCTCCACAAGATTGTCAAAAGAACCTGGCAGCCTGAAGACCTATCCAAAGGTGAGCGCATGTGGATGATGAAACAGGATCTTAAAACATGTGATCATTTACACCAACCGTAAAGTTTTCTAATAACCTGACATCTCCCCCTTCTTTCTTCACAGAAGCCGTAGATCTGATCTGCTCGTGTCTGCAGAGTAAGCCAGACAAGCGGCTTTCACTTGACGAGATCCTTCACCAGAGGTGGTTCCAGGTCTTCATCCTGAAGCCAAACAACAGACGAAAAGATTAAGAAGATCAGAACATCCAGCCTCTTCATCCAGCCGTCAACACCAAACTTCTCCTCTTCATCGATCCACTAACACCGAACTCCTCCTCTTCATCCAGCCGCTAACACTAAGCTCCTCTTTTATATTCAGCCAGAAACTCCGTCAAGCCACGAACATGGGGCAGTTTGTGGCTTTACGAAGAGAAAAAGCTGAATGGGGCTGGTGTTTGTGGTTGTGTGGGAAGGAGGAGCTGTTTGGGGCCGGTGTTTGTGGTTTGATAAAGAGGAGGAGCTGAAGGGGGCCGGCGTTTGTATCTGGATGAAGAGAAGAAGATTTTTTGTTTATTTTTGGAGATTGTAAATAAATGCTTGTTCTGTATGTAATGAATAAAAATGAATACTTTTCACATATAAAGTGTTTTCATTTCGTTCAATATTAACTTAATGCACTCCTATAGTTAAAGTGTTGAACTGTCCTGTCTTCACCTAGCAGTTGAGGTTGCCAAACAATGGCGTTATATTGTTTCAGGTTTTACAAAATGGCACAGTGATGCCTGTATACTTCACAACTGATTCAACTGACTTTTACAGCACTTTTTACAATGTAGATTGTGTTGAACAGCTTTACATAGTTCTAGCAGATTAAACTGAACTTCAACTGTGACAATTGGACTGAAGCGGTTCAGTTCAGTGTAATGTGAATGTCACTGCTTAAAGCCAAAACACAGAAGACCAAATCCAACGATGAGGAGCTTCACAAGTCCCAAACCAAGCAAGACAGAGGCGACATTGGCGCGGAGCAAACTTCACCAACAGACCCTTTCCACATGCCTAAACAGAACTCCTCACAGAGATCTCACCCAGTCAGCTGTATATTGACTGCAGATAGGGTTAGATGGTGACAAGGCTGTTTTTTGCATTCAAGGTGAGACACCTGACATCTAAAAACTGTTTTTGTCCTAACCGACACCTGAAATTACTATTTTAGAAACTTTTATGCTTCTATTTCTGAGCCATCGCCTCAGGTACATCTCATGTGCTTTATTCAGTGTTAAATGCTAATAATGTGACATTTATTACTGTACAACTGTAAGCAGCAGCAGATAGTTCACCTCAGATCTTAAAAATAAAATAAAATGTTTGAAATTTAACGTTAGGACTGCAAACCAACAGATATCAGTGATTCAGCATGTACATATAATAATGTTAAAGAGGTTTATGTGTGGAGTTTGTATGTTCTCGCCGTGTTTGCGTGGGTTTCCTCTAAGTGCTCCGGTTTCCCCCAGTCCAAAGACATGCGCTATAGTTGGATTGAATGTTAAATTCGCCATAGTGTATGTGTGTGAATAAGAGTGTACGGGTGTTTCCCAGTGATGGGTTGCAGCTGGAAGGGCATGCCCTGCGTAAAACATGCTGGATAAGTTGGCGGTTCATTTCACTCTGGCAAACCCAGATTAATACATTTCTTTTCGGACTAAGTCGAAAAGAAAATGAATAAATGAATGAAGAGATTTTGACTTTGTTTTGTGAAGCAGGCTGTTGTAATTTTTAAGATTTTCTGACCCCAATACCCTTGTGCAATTATTTTTGGACAAACTTTTTTCAGTGTTTGCCCCTTTTTTAAGTTTTTGCCGTAATTTCTATTTTAACCACGAGATGGCAGTAACAGATCATCCTCTCAAGCTTTAGTAAGACTAGTACACTACTAATTTGAGTTTTTTATTAACAAATACAGAATTATACAGTACTATACACAGAAATACATGCCAGAGTGTGTGTGTATATATATATAAAAACATGCACTAATTGAAAATCTTATATTCCTTAAGAATATTACAAGTCTTCTTTGCTTTTATTACCAATGTTCTCCAAACTTGTGCAGTAGTCCTTAGTCTCTTGAAGGAAATGAACAAAGACAAAATTTGGCTTCGATCCAGTCGAAGTTTTTTATGTATATAAAATCCCCCCCATACCCCCCCCAAAATAAAATTTTTACTAGAAAGTTTTTTTTAGTTTTTTTTTTTTTTACATGTATTAACATAATAAATGCAAATATCAACTTTTTTTTTTACTTGAATACAATATTAGGTTTCCTTAGAATATTTTCCACATCCACCCAGAAAATCCTTGTGTATATACAATCACAAAACATGTGGACAATAGATTCCTTTTCCATGCAACAAAAATCACAAGAATAATCAATTACCTGGATATATCCTATGTACAATTTTAAATGTAACTTCTTTTACTTTTATAATTTTATGCAGTGTTTTTTGTACAATCTGAGACCCACTTTAAATCGGATATCACTTAGCTAGTTGAGATCGCTGATTTTTTAAGAAAACAGACCTTAGACGTGCCATTTTTTGCATTGCATAAAGTTCGCCGAAAGTGCTTAAGACCCAGGCTACTGGCAAATTAAAAGTCCCGTACGGTTGTCACACACGCATTTCAAAATAAAAGTCCGATATAAGCATTATTGTTGTTTTTTTGATCACACACTCCGCGACCCACTGAAAATGTTCCCGCGACCCACTTTTGGGTCGCGACCCACCAGTTGAGAAACACTGACTTAAACCATTGTAGAGCCTGTCCCTGGTCACCAGTAGACTTTAAGTGATTTATGAGGATACTGTGGTCAATGGTGTCAAAGATCGAGTAGAACTAATAGCGAGATGCACCCTTGTCATCAGCTAAAAGTAGATCATTGGTTATTTTCACTAATGCGGTTTCTGTACTGCACTTTCAGGAAAAAAAAAAGGTACACGGTGGTACAAATAATGTTCCTTGAGGGCCAGTTTTGTACCTTTGTAAAAGTTGTACCTTATATGGTACAGAAAAGACCTCTTATGATACTGTTCTGTACCCTTTATGGTACAATTCAAATCAACTGTTCTCATAAAAAGGTACACTCTCAGAAATAAAGGTACAGGAGCTGTCACTGGGGCAGTACCTTTTCAAACGGTACATATTTGTATCTGAAGGGTCCATAATGGTACTTCGGAGGTACTTTCGGAGGTACTAATATGTATGTTTTGAAAAGGTACTGCCCCAGTGACAGCTCCTGTACCTTTATTTCTAAGAATGAACTTAAGTGTTGGACAACTCCTTCTTTGTTACAATATCTATGAAAATAAATATTACTGGAAAGGCAAAGTGATTTCTGAAAAATTTCCATATTAAAACATGAATGATCATTTAAAAGCATGAGTTTAAAGAAACTCATAAACAATAATTATTAAGTTCTATAATGCAATAATACAAAACAACTGGTAAAACATTTGTATCTTTGATGAAGGTACATTTTGGTTTCCCATGGTCCAAATCATGTTCTTAAAGGTACAAACTGCAATGGTACAAATTAGTTTCTTTGTCTTAAGTTACAATTCTATTCCATAAAAAGGTACTGCCCAAGGGTTTGTACCTTCTTTGGTACAACATTGTACCATTTTTTTCTGAGAGTGTGTGTGAGCCCTAAAACCTGACTGAAATACTTTAAAAATATTGTTTGTCTGCAGAAAGGAGCATAATTGGGTAGAAACCACTTTTTCTAGTATTTAGACATAAATGGAAGATTTGAAATAGGCCTATAATTAGCTAAGTTGTTGGGGTGCAGTTGTGGTTTCTTACAGTTTTTTCCAATTGTTTACACACAATTACTTGTACTTCAGACACAATGACTACAACATGATGCACCAACCCCCTGAACCAATTCTGCTAAACTACAAGCACAATTCCTTCTTTACACTCAAATTGCAGGTTTAAAATACACTTTTTATCAAAACACAACACACAATTCTCTGCATTTTGCACAATTTTCATGCAGAAAATCTTTTGTTTTCACAAGGAACACACTGTCATTCACAATTGTAAAGTCAGTTGCCCTACTTTACATACTAACTCATCGCATGAGTAAACTCCTGTCACACAGAATTTCCATTTAGGGTCCCACTTTACAATAGTTTGCCTTAGTAACTATGTACCCACAGCCCTATTTACACATTTAGTACAGTGTACTTACTTACATTGTACCTCTATGTTCTTACATTGTGCTTACATTTGAAGTACACTCATACTTAATATGTATTTACAATAGTTTACTTGCATACTAAGATGTAAGTACACATTTTGTAAGTACATATTTGTAAGTACACATTCGTAAGTACATTTTTTTAAGTACACATTTGTAAGTACACAACATATTTGCTTTAGCTATTTTATACACACACACACACACACACACACACACACACACACACACACACACACACACACACATATATATATATATATATATATATATATATATATATATATATATATATATATATATGTATATATGCAAATTACAATGTTTACAAAGCTGAATTTTAAGTCCATCCACTATGCATCAATTGGAAATGAATACAAAACAATTTTATTTATCAGCAGGGCACTTTAAATTAGCTATACTAATTCACTCACTCCCTCAGAGCAGGTCAAGCAGCAAAGGTTATGTTGCCTATACAAGAATGAACACTCCACCAGTCCCAGTTTAAATGTATCACTGTTATTACTGGGTGATGTTTAAAATAAATCAATCAAATTTTAATGTTTAAAGCATTTCTTTATTAGAAAAAAAAGAAAAAAAAAACAGAAATAATATTATAAAACTTTAAAATGTAGATTTAACAGTTGATTTGGACTCCATACAAAACTTTTACCTGAACATGCAGTCTGAAGTTTTTGGTTCACAGTGAAATTTCTTACTAGTTGCAGGAAGGGTTGGTCAAACAGATTATCCTTTTAAAGAACTGTTAAAATGTCCGTTTTAAAACATAATATGCAGTTAAAAATGGAAAATATGATGATTTCTAAGTAGACCACTGGATGATTAATTATTTATTTATATATTATTCTGGTGCAAGGTCAAAAACTACAGTTCTAAACCTCAGTGCGGAACTTGACAGTGGTGTTCTTCATCTTTTGTTTGTAGACCTCATCAAACTGCTCGTTTTGTGCCACAGTGAAGTGATTTCTCCAGTCTCCAACTTTCCCTACACAAATAAAAAAAAAAATCAAAGCGAGTGGAAGTAAAGAATTTAGGTTTAGGCAAAATTAGATGTTTTTTTTACCTTTCCGCATGAAGGGCGAGATCTTGAAGTCCATGACCGGGATAGTGGAATAGTTGGTCATCTTGTTCTGTTTCATTGCATCAAACTGAACCCCTTTTGTTATTCTCTCCCTCTCTGCGGCTGAGGTGGACAATCCCAAGAAGGAGCACAAACGTTCCACCTCACGTCCAGTGTCCTAAGCAAGACATATATAGTACATTTAATATACCTTACGGATTTTTGTTACTTTATTAATATTTCTGCTAAAATAATTAACTTTATAAACTTCACTTACCTCAACCATATCCTCATAGAA